CACCACCACTTTCTGATTCAGTGGGCCCAGAAATCTGTATGTTTAACAAATTCCCCACGTAATAAGTAGGTAATTCTCCTCATTTAATAAGTGGGGAGATGATGGTGGCTGCCATCTTCCCCAAAAGAGTTAACGGCAGAATCAACACCGGCTCTCTGGTCCCACACGGCGCGCAGAGGAAGCCCTCGCTTGACGTGCTCTCTCAACTGAGGCCTTACAAGTCTAACACAATTCGCCATAGTTCAGGCTCTCCTGCTCCCGGGGCGGCGATACGTTATTACGTGTCAGGGGACAGCTGTTGAAAATACAGATTCCAGAGCTTCAACCCAGACCTACTGAATCTGTGACGTTCCCGAAACTATTAACTCCACCGTCCACCCCCGGATTCTCTACCCGGACAGAGCTCGAGCGCGCCGCGGCTGGGCGACGAGCAGGTGCCCTGCGGCCCCCCACCGGCGAGAGCGCCTGGTGCCCAACAAGGGTTAACAATTGCCCTGCTTTGGGTCCTTCTCTTCCAGGACGCTCGGGATGGTCCCGGAGGTCGCCTGGGAAGGACCCTCAGGGGCGGTCCCCACACCACCAGCCCGAGCACCCACCGGTACACCTGCCGGCCGCCCCGCCGGGGGCGCGCGGGTTCACACCCGCTCGGCGCAGGAAAGCAACCCTCTGCCCGGACCGGCCGCGCCGCCCGCGCTCAGGGGGAACCTTAAGACTATAGCACCGACTCCAGCAACGCCCAATCACAGGCCGTGGCGTCGGGCACTTCCTCTTACGTCACGTGCCGCCGCCGCCGCTTCCGGCGCCAGCTCCTGCAGTCCGGGCTGCTCCGCGTTCCCGGCTGCCCGGGGGCCGCTATCTGAAGGTGCGGAAGGGAGGGCCGGGTTTGGGGGGGAGCGCAGGGTCTGCGGGTTAGGGGGATCCCAGCGAGGAGCCAGGGTATGGCGAAGGTGGGACTGAAGACGTGTTTCCTCCCCGCCACCCCCTCCAGCTGGACATCTTTTTCCGCACAGCTAGGGAGTTGGGGAAGCAGGTGCTAGGCGAAAACATTTGAATTGTATCCCGAGAGCGCGGAGCGGGATGCACCCCCTCGGGCTCCGCCGCGGGCTGCGCGCACCCCAGTCAGTCACCCGACGGGGCGGGGCCGCGCCTTTCGCTCCCTGGTTCTCCAGTGCTAAGCAGCTTTGGATTGAGGGAACAGGCCTAAGTTTCAGCCCAGACGCCACCATTTACTGTGTGTGTAATCTAGGGCCAGGATTCCGTTTCTGTATCAAATGGGCATACCTCCCGTTTGAACGATTAAGTGAGAGAATGCATTTAAATAGTTTAGCACGATGACTGGTACACAGCAGGAACTCAAATGTTAAGACTGTCAGCCTCATCTGAGCTCTTGAGAAATATCTTTAAAGTGGCCAGGTGAAACCCTGTATCTTATAGTGTGAAAATAGCAAAAGTAGCACAAAATTAACTACTTTGTGCAAGTTATTCTATAAGATCTACCAAAGCATAGTCACTATAAAAGTCAAGTAAGCCTCATATTATATACTACTTCCCTGTAGGAACCCGATCTATGTACGTATATTATTGCTACTATCAAACCTAATTTTCACAGCATCCATTATTCCTTGTACCTTGTGACATGGAAGGGAAAATGATTTATCCTGGAACTGAAAAGAGAGAAAAGTGAACTGAAAGGTCAGACTACAATGTTTATACCCCACCCCCAACAACTAGTAATTTGTCAGTGTCTGTTTCTGGCTCAGGAACCTTGGCTGTATCTTCCATAGAACTTAATTTCTTTCTTTTTCAACCTTCATGGTTTTGGAACAGTAACAACGAAGTCTGTTGAGGAGTCCCTAGAAGTGGTGCTCTCCAAGGAGAACACTTCTCAAAAATCAAAACATAGCCAGCTTGCATCCAAAATAACTGCATCCTTAACAGAATCACCATAAAGACCCTATTTTTATCAAGTGCCCAAGGTGATTCTGATACACGAAACATTTGAAAACCGTTCGGGCACATGTAGGGTGGCAAATTGTCCTAGTTTGTCTGAGACGGGGTTTTCCAGGACGCAGGAGTTTGTAAGTGCTAAAGCTGGGACAATCCAGGGCAAACTGTTGATCATCCTAGATGCGTGTGAATATACAGTATTAAAATGATGATCTTGATGCAGCTGGGCATCCTGGGTTCCCTCATTTCTATCTGCAGGATTTGTTTTTCCATAAACAAGGGGGCAGAGACCATGGAGAGGAAATGAAGGTGGGGGTGTGTTGCCAATTATCACTCACTGATTCTCAGCTCCAAACCCATCCTTCACTGCCCTGCTCCCAGTACTGGAACATTTCTCCTTTTCATGGCTGGTGTTAGCTGCATTAGTAGAGGATGCTGGAGGGACATTAGAGGAGGAAAGGGCTCTTCCTGATTCCAGTGTGCAGCTCTTAGCTGGCTTCTCGATGCGTGGTGGCCAGCCATGCTTGGCAACTCTCTATGGGCTGAATTTCAATGTTAGTTGAATTTACAGCCATGTTAAGTTTCTCTTGTGCAGTTAAGGCATTGATTGGGAAGGAATGAGGTCCCAGAACTTGAAATAGGGACATCTGCTTGGACCCAGATGAAAGAAGCAATCTTGCACACCCAGGTCACCCTGAGCCTCCCTTGCTTTCCTGTGTCTCAGGAGACTAGTTGTCCTTTGCTTGAAAACCCTGTGAAACCCTCACCTGGAGCAGATGACTTGAAAAATACGGCTTCCTGACAGGTGAGAGTGCTTCCAGATTTGTGCCTGCCTTTGTGTTCTGCCTCGACCTACAGTAGACCAACCTAGAGGTACTTTTAAGTGGCTGCTCACTCTACCTGCTATTTCCATATTTTTAGAGTTTTCCTTTTCCCCTGTAGGTAATTCCATATTATAGTTAATAATTCTTCATTTTATTCCTGTTTGAATTACTATATAGTTTCTACTTGAGTCCTGTTACAGTATGATTATGGTATTAGGGATTGGGAGCAATGGCTAGCAAGTGACTGGCCCCAGGATTGGCCTTAAACTGTAAGTAATTGGTTTGCCTCTGCTTTGGGCCCTTTGCTTTCATTTCTTTAGCTGAGACAGCCCTCCTAAAGCCCCAGTGGGTTTTGCTGGTTCAGTTGCCTCACCTATCCCCTGAAGCCAGCGTTTCTCAGTGCATGGTTGGAAGACCATCTGCAGAGTCGCTTGGGGAATGCTTGTAAAAACCGAAGAGTCCAGGGCCCCCATCAAGATTCTGAGTTAGCAGGTCTGGGGCAGAGCCCAGCATTTTACATTTTTAACAGGGCCTGGTTTCATTTTGCAAGAACCTTTGAGTGCTCTCTGCCTTTCCAGCTGCCTGCTTTCTCCAGGTAATCACTTTCCCACTCAACAGTGATCTCATTCCTGGATGGCAAAACTGATCAATATTTTAAGCGTTGGTAGCTCTTAGAAATGATTCTGGGCCAGTCACACACTGCAGCCTATTTTCAGTTACCAATTTTCACACCAGATTCTTGCCCAACACTCCCTGTTTCAATCATTTGCCACTCGTGGAGCACTTGCTGCTGAATTCCTGACAAAATCCAGTCCAAGGGAAATAATGGCACATCATGCTAATAGCTCTCAGTGAAGGTGTTGCAGAGAGGAATTCCCAGCTACGTCTCCCTGTCCAAGGCTTAGTGGTTCCCAGCTTGAGGAAGGAGGATGGGACGGGAACCTGCCAACTCTGCAGCGTGTTTGTGTGGAGGCTTTCAAGTCGTGGCCAACTTTAAACAACGCTGAGGGAGAGAGGATGCTTCTCCAGACTCCAGACAGGAACTCCTCCTGTTCCATGCCCAGCACGACTGCAGATGCTGCCAGAGAGAAAGTCTTCCAGAAACCACAGTGTAAACTATGTGAGGTACAATTAAAGAACAGCATACTTGCATGTGACATTGTGGAGAGCAGACAAAAATCTGGGCTGAGAGAGATCCCTAGAGGCTATAGTCATCAATGAAGTCTTTATGGCGAACAGAGAATTATGTCGAGGTTCTAAAACAGGTAGCATTCAGAAAGCCCAAGGGTATTCGGATAGTTACATTACCCCTAAAAAGAGCAGGCAACATTTACACATTCTTATTTCTAAATAGCAAATAAAAATACTGTTTAGCTTGGCCAGTGTGGTTCAGTTGGTTGGGCATCATCCATGCACCAGGAGGTCGCCAGTTCGATTCCCAGTCAGGGCACATGCCTGGGTTGTGAGTTCGATCCCCAGTCAGGGCCATGCAGGAGGCAGCCGATCAATGACTCTCTCATCAATGTTTCTCTCTCTCTCTCCCTCTGCCTTCCTCTCTGAAATCAATAAAAACATTTTTTAAAAATACTGTTTAACATTTATTGAGTGTCTTGCATGCCAAGTGCTGTTCTAATTACATGCTGATCTAATTTTCAGAACCACCTTCTGATGTAAAGGTGATTTAATACTAGAAAGTCATAACTAAACTAAAGCAAGATCTCTGAAATCTTCAGGAAACGCATCACTAATATGTACTTCAGTAGGTGTGTTCCCCTAGCTGTTCCTGGGACGTGCCAGGTGCGTTCTCTCCATGGGCTCTGCGCACGGGCTGGGCCGCCTGGAGCGCCCGTCCCTCGGGGAACCGAGGGGCTTGCAGGGCTGTTCAGAGGCAGCCCCCCTGCATCTGCTCTGAGCACCTCGCTTATAACCACCAGCCTCCCCCGACACCGATTCCCCGTCCTCCTGACTGCTTCGTCCCCCCGAGCACAGGGCACTCACACTACACATTACTCCTTTCGCTTGCCAGTTCCCTCCTTGGCGCCCTCCCTGCTCCCAGCTCAATGTCAGCAGCACCGGGCGGGAAGTTCGCCTGCGTGTTCACTGCCGCTTCTCCGGCGCCCAGAAGGGTCGATGGCACGTGGTTGGCCCTCCACTGATACACACAGTGGTACATCCGGAACCTCTGCAACAAGGACGACGAGCTGGCCTATGGCCTTCCAGGAGCACCTTTCGTAGGACCCAGTTTGCTTGTTTCAACGACACACATACAGGGAGAGCGGGCAGGGCTGTCATATGCCCTTCACCCCAGTCAAGTTTCTTCATCTGATGTGTCTGTGCTCATGCTAGACACGTGTCCCGCTTCTGGGGTATCCTCATACGAATCTCGGGAACATCTATATTTCCACGGGGAATGTAAAGTCTGTCCATATGCATGTGTTTTGCACCATGAGTGACACAAACATGCCAATCTAGACACATTAGAATGTCGCAAAGTAGTGAATCCTTAAAAATTATTTTTTAAATATATTTTTATTGATCTTTAGTGAACGAGGAAAGGAGGGGGGAGAGAGACACCGATGTGAGAGAGGAAACGTCGATCGGCTGCCCCCTGCGCACACACCAACCAGGGACTGAACCCGCAACCTGGACATACGCCGACTGGGAATCAAATGGCGACCTTTCCATGCACGGGACAATGCCCAGCCAACTGAGCCACACCAGCCAGGGCCTTAAAATTTTTTTAAATTAGTTTCCAACATATTCAATAAAAAGCTTTGATAGTTGGTTTTGACAAACTACAGAGCAAAGTAGGAGAATCCAGGACCGCCTAAATCTCAGGTAATTTTTGATGTCGACAGACTGAGGACATTGTAGTACCACTTAAGCTCATTTCATTCTCATAAGATATTATCACAATAAATCTTTTCTTCCACACTGAAACAGCACCATATCTATTGGTATCGGGATGGATGTTCACTCCTTGTAAAGTTCAGCTCTATTGTATTTCCATGCAATAAATACCAAATGAGAAATCAGAATTCATCTCTTTAGGGCAGGACCACAACTGAGGAAAAGGAGACCGATATGTCACCTTTAGCATTTATTTATTCCCAGTGTACGTGGGACTGACACAAGGACAAGTCAGAAGGGCGCACACCATTACGTGTGCAGGATAATTCCTCCCACATTCCCCTGTGCTATTTCCAGAAAGGGCAGTGAGGGGACAGTACATTACAATCTGCTTTCTATGCTGTGAGGTGAGCTCACTCTACATAAATATCAATACCGTCTTCTACTCGATGCTTTTTGGGTTCAGACCTTACCCAGCACATATCAGACAATCAAGTCAATAGAGAGTTAAGTCTCAAAATTATGCTTCAGTATGTTGAAGGTTTTGAGAAGATTCATTTCTCTTTTAGTAATTTTTCTTTCATGTGCCTGGAAACATAGATTTTCATTTCATTGTCTTCAACCTTGAGTGTCAAATACACGAGGAAATTTGCTAAGTTGAAGAGGTCAAAGCCATAGCTCGGAAGCTGTGAGATTGCCAAGGGATTTCCTAGCCAGGACAGAACTATTTTCTAACTGGGATAAAAGGAAGAGTATTTTGTATACTTGTAAACCAACCCCTCTCCCCTCTCTGCGAGCTTTCCACCAATCACCACCACAACCGACCAACCAGTGTGTGAAAGTAAGTGAATATTGCTCAGCTGTCATTGTGGTGTCAACAAGAAGAGAGAGAGAATAGGGCAATGTTTTTCATAGAGCTCAGTTTATTCGATGTAAATGTCTATTCCTTATTGGTAGATTGTATTCTTACACTTTGTATGCTAAAATGTCTTTTATAGAATAATGGTAACTAGGTTTTCTGTTTTTATTTTATGTCCTTAGCTGACAAAATTAAAAGCTAGAAACAAATACTCCAATTAAAAATTTTTTTGCTAATTTACTGGTGCTTAAAACTCAGCCTCGAAATCACAGCCTCGGGCAAGATCTACCTTTCAAATAGCATGTCTCACAATATTGAATTATTGCTTAGCAATTTCCCCAAACAAGTTATGTAGCAGGATAAACATAAGCCTTAATTTATATTAAGCCAGTGTAAAAACAGCCTTAATTTCAAGCACCAAAGAAATATATTTTCAGGCAACACCACAGTTATATCATCTTTCATTAAAACTAATTACATCAGTATCTATAGGGACCAATCTAAGAGTGTAGAGCCACTCCTCGGGTATCGTTACTGTCCTAGGAACAGCCTCCTGTCATATACGTAAGCAGTGTTGTTGCAGCACAGGAACCACGGCAGCCAGGGTCCAAGCAGGCCACTGTCCTGGGTCAGGGTTTAGTGGCACCACAAGTGGCTGCCAGGTTCAATGTACATTTTTGCCCGTTTACCTTTATAAATCATATCATACAGCATTCAGAAGTTACATACATTTAAACTGAGAAGAAATACGTATTAGAGGAAAGCATATTTTTATGGGCTTCATATATAAGAAAAACTCCAAGCTTCATGAATTATTTTTATGTCATTAGCTACTTTGAGAAAGAATAGTTCCGTATAAACATACAAACTGGGACAGGCCTTTAGAAAAGCTGACAAGAACCATGTAGATGGCAGGACGCCCTCCCATAGTGAACCCATGAACCTCCGGTCCCTCAGGTTGGTAAAGCCAAGACCGAGTAGCTGGCCCTAATTTTTTAAACTATGTTCCAGAGGAAATACAAGAATCATCATTTGACATGTTGGTCCACATGAAACTGTTGGGCTTTATCCAGACTCATATCTACGAATTGCTATACTCCTGCTCCTTCCTATTAAGTTGCTCTTGTTAATATTAGTTCTACATCCAATTGATATAAGCATTTCTATTAAACTATAAAATAACTGCTGGTAGCACCCAGAATATATGTCAGGAGCTCCAGCTTCCTTCCCGATTGTGACCACACTCAGCCTTATTATAACTATTAAAACAACAACTGAAGGTTCAGGAGCTGGGTGGGTGACCCACAGGGAGCGAGCAGAGGCAGAGCATCTCGTCAGGCTGCTCAAGCAGCTACCAGTGCTCAGTTCTTCTTGGCTTTCTTCAGATAGTGAGCCCGCGTGGTCTTGCCTATATTCATGGCTATTTTAATATATAACCAAGAAGGCAGTATTGACAGGATTGTTCCCTAGGAAAAGAAATGGGGAAATACAGAATTACAACCTACAACTTGAACTAAATTAAAACACATGATCTTGTGTTTTACTTTATATATATATTTTTACTTATAGGTAGGTTTTAGAGTTCTTGGGTGTGTAAAATAAAACACAGATAACTCGTCAATAAGTCTAGAGTATATATACATATATAGAAATATAAATATATATATATATTTTCATATATATGTGTGTGTGTTTATGTATTAATATATCACATCCTATTTTGTGACTCAGTGGGGAAAAAAAAGAACCCAAACCCAAGTGCTGATTTGGGACTTAAAAATCTACCTACCATCAGAGAATGGACCAGGTACCCATTGGTTCGAGATTTCAACCCCACTGTTTTCATCGCCGACTTCACGTACGTCTCTGAAGAGGGCACCTGCAAAGTTGGCTTCCGGACTTTAGCCATTTTCGTAGCTACAAAGAATGGCAGGACACTCTAGAAAGGCAACACCCCCCAGAAAAAAACATGCCATGGTTAGGAAGGCTACAAACGGAATTCACAGCGATGATCGGTTGCTCTGTGGCAGAAACATTCGGATGAAATATAAAGTTTGCATCTTTAGAGAGAGAGAAAAAAGAGAAGCCGCTATCTAAAGACACCTGGCAGCACAAAGCAAACTAATAAATCAGTCTCTCAATGAAACAGAATTTGAGACGAAAGAGAGTATTAAAGATGAGCAGAAATATATTTTTGAATCTTTAAAAGAAGGCATTACAGAAGTCTAGAGAGCAGAGCTTCTATCTGAACATTTACAGAACAGCCAAGTAAGAGGCTTTTGGCATTTCATCCTCCTAAAGAGACGCTACTACTTTCCCCGTAATTTATAGTCAATTAAGCTTGCTCCACCAGCTTAGGCCCTGCTACAACGAACACTGCACTTTCTCAGTCTTGGGCTACCACCGCTCTTCTTCCTTAGTTTCTAACCATTCTGCCTCTGAGTTTTAATTTATTGGGGTAACATATAACATTATATAAATTTCAGGTGTACAGCTGCTTTTGAGTTTTATAAACTTCGCTACTGATAAGACAGGACCACCTCCCTCTCCTTTCTTCTTTGTGGGGAAGACAGTGTAACAACAGGGAAGCAGCTGGAGCAACTCAGACACGCGGCACGACTGGCGGGCGACGGCCGCGCACCGCCCGTGGGGGAGCTGGGCAGCGCCGGGGCTGGGCTGCCATGCCTGCGGCATCTGGGATGTGCCTCCACAGGGGACGTGAGGAGGCCTCTGACGGCGAGTCCTGAGTCCTGACAAGAGGCTCCTGTGTAGTCTGAAGTAACTTGGGTGTGGTCGTTCACCAGCGTGGATGTCTGTCTATCTCACACGCGCGAGAGGAAGGGCATCGGTTACAATGACATTTCTATTAAAAAGGACCTGTTCTGACACGTGGAAACAATAAACACGTCATCGCTAGAGACAGAGAGAAAATGGATACGTGTTCCTCACCATGGACCTCCTCCCTGCTGAGAGCTGGAAGGAGCGTTCCATGTCCCTTTCATTTTCGTTTCTCTGTTTTGTGTTTTCCCACTCCCAAGGATAGGGTAAGGGATACAGCCCACCCCCCTGAACAGGTGAGCTAAAGCTTCAGCCTGCCTGTTAAGAGCCAAGAACCCGAGGACCTAACCGCTGTCACTCTCCACCTTCCCCTCTCTCAGTCCCTGCAGCCACAAGCCCACGCTAAGTGAATTAATGTCCCCAGTACCTCAACACCTGGGCCAACTCTGATTAGGTGACTTTTGGTTTTGGAGAATTTGTTTATTGCAATTATCACTATCCACTTATCCCTCACCTAATAAGCAAAAGTATTTCATCCAAAAGGTCTTTAATTTTATATCATGTTCCTGCAAGGACACAATATATGAGAGCACAGATCAAAGATCTCCGAATGTCACACAGTATGAAATGCAGAGCTCAGTGAGGCTCTCACATGGGAAAGAAAAGAAGAGTTTATTCACCAAGCTGAGGAGCAAACAAAGCAAAAGAGCGCGCGGATATGTACTGTCTCCAATAATGAAGCACGTAAGCAAAGCAAGTCACATCGCTATGCCTCAGGCTTCCTGGTTACAGAAAAAGTGAAGATTAAAAAACTGTTCGCATATATAGATCACAAGCTTGTAAAGTTTTGAGCTTCTTAAGACAAAGATGATCTGAGAACTCTTTAACCGCCCGTTTATATCTGTATCTGGGAGAAACTGGACTGTGCTGATCTTGCGGAATGAAGCCGCATGGCCCGGCTGAGCCACTGGGTGGCGCCAAAGTCAACTCCTCCCCGGTACCCGGCCGGGTGGCCCCGCGCAGCCAGCTCTGCAGGTGGGGCGCAGCCCGGACGCCGTGGAAACGCCAGCTCTGCTCGGAAGGGTGTTCGTTCATTGCCACGGCGGCTTAAGATCGAGGCAGTTAACACGGTCTGCTGCAGGGCGGGCGGGACTCAGGGGAAACAACTCGAGCTGGGTCTTAATGCAGCGGGGAGTTTGCCAGGCAGACAAATGCGGGAGGACCATCTTGGGCACCGGGAGCAGCAGGACGCCCCCAGGGAACTGTAAGCCGGGCACGGAGGAGCCACGCCGGGCACG